TTCATGTTTCCCAAATTTTAAATGGCTGATAAGAGTTACATAATGCTTACTTGTACCATTCCAGCAAGTTCCATGATATTGTTAAATTGAAAATCTTGTTTTTATTGTCTAGAAAGGGGGAAGAAAAAGTGTATTGGGCAGGGTCATGGAAAATGACACTTTTTGCGTTGCTACAAGACATTCCAATTAAACTTCGCCCATTTATTGCTTCCATTTCTATTGATGGAACTTCTGCAACTACTCTCATTGTAGACAGGTGGATACACTTGAGACTCACTGCTTATACCTTTATTTATTGTGTTCCTTTCCCTGTCAAGCCCACTTTGGAAATAATAATCTGAATTTGGTGCTGCAGAAATACGGGAGAACCTTTATCAAGGCCTTTCCTCTACAATGAGAGCTGTCCTGATGCTTTACCAGAGGTGAAGTCCATAGCTCCGGCGAACCATACTGTCTGTTCTGGTTCCTCTACCCTTTGCAAGCTTGTTTCATGGTGGAGCATTGACAACGCAAACAAAGAATCTGCAGTCTTATTGCATCAGGCAGATTGGTTGTTGTGGTTTCTTCATGGAAAGCTTGGAATTTCAGATTACAATAATGCATTGAAGGTATATGTAGGTAACATATCTATTAGGATTTTTATATTCCTACTATTGCTCATCACCTATTTCTCAGATGGAAAACTTATTCAAGGACTCTTTTCAACATATAGGTTGGTTATGATCCTGAATCTGATGCATATCCATCTTGGCTACTTTCTCAGCCTTATTCTCGACTATTACCTTCTGTTAAGGCACCTGGAACTTCAATTGGCTTTTTAAAGGAGGATCTTAGAAAGCAATATGGTATTTCTTCGTTTTGTCGAGGCTATTTTATGGCATCAAAATGTGGTTTGGTGTAACCAGAGCAATTTACTTAAATTATTGAAATTCTACTTTGGCAGCGGGAACTTAGGTAGCATTTTCAATCAGAAGATTTCATGCGATATCATTTTTGAATGTTTCTTATGTCTATGTTTCTTTATATCAACATTTTCTTCTCAGATCAGAAATTGTCTTTTATGATTCCTCATTGTCTAGTTTGTCCGAGTAAGTCTTAGCTTGACTTTAATAAATATTCTCACTATTTTCTTTTTTATATTGGCAATGTCAGAAACTCTCCTCCATTTTAGACACCAAAAAAGAAAACAGGAAAGTTACCTTCATTTTTATCCCATAATTAATGTGGAATGCAGTGTTTTGGTTCACAAAAGACTCTTGCTATTAGGAAAAACATGATAATTGCCAAGATGGTGAAAAGTGGGAAATAACTAGAGTCGAAGAATGTATTTACATTTTTTTGAATTTTATATCTGTTCCCTTGAAGAAATCAGTTAGAAAATTCTGGAAACTTCTGATATTGATTCCACATGCCATGCTGTTGGAGCCTTGGCCTCTCTTGAAGAGCAGCCTAGTAAGTGTTTAAGCTGCAATTAACTGCTTAAAGGTGGATGCTTGCAGGATTTCCTGATGATTGTACTATTTGTACTGGAACCACAGATAGTATTGCTGCCTTTCTTGCAGCCCGTGCAATGGAACCTGGAAAGGCGGTAATAATTATGCAGGATTCTCCTTTGATTGTCAGGAAAAAGTTTATGCATGAATACCTTTTCCTATAATGCATATGGTCTTTCATTGGTTTGCAATAGATAGATGCAGCATGCATCAGGAGACTCTTTGGACTTTGGTATCATGTATTTGTATCTGTTAATGTATCCTGCCAGGTGAATATTATTGATAACTTAATCCAAGATCACCCACCATCCTCTCTATGGACATTGCGCTTTTGCCCAATAAAATATGGACCTTAACATACTGCGTTGGCATTGCCTTTCTTGCAGCTCGGGTGCAGACTATATTTTTCACCTTGGGGTTGTGTCTCAACTATTAGTTCCAATAGCACTCCCGTTGATCATAAGAATAACGTTGTTGATGTTTTTGTCTAGGTAACTTCTTTGGGTTCAACGCTTGCTATTAAACTACTGAGCTCCACTAGGGTTGATGATGCAAGATTTGGAGTTTATAGTCACCGTCTTGATGATATGTGGCTCGTTGGGGGTGCTTCAAATACTGGCGGAGCTGTTCTTAGACAATATTTCACAGACAAGCAATTGGAGGAATTGAGTGAACAGATTAACCCCATGGAAGCCTCTCCTCTGGATTACTACCCTCTGCAGGCAGTTGGTGAGAGATTTCCTGTTGCAGATCCAAAAATGGCTCCTAGGTTGTTATTCTTCCCCTTTCTCGAATGAAATAGGATAGAGCTATGTCATACATCCAAATAAGCTATCAATATAATATTCTGCGCTCTTTTAGTCCACATGAAGTTAACAGCGCCCAAGCATTTATCATATCTAGTTTAGACTATAAAATATTGTAATCCTATTTAATCTCTAATACAGACATCTCATCAGTTCTGATACTATGAGAAAAGAGATGTATATGTGATGGCGGTAGAAGTATACTATTTGTTTTATAATTGATGTGGGAGTATATCGGTAGGTTAACTGCTCAAGTTTACCATGTTAATCTCTCATAAGCTAGTTTAATTTTTGGGATAGCTTTGATAGGTTGAGTCCTATTTTGTTTTTGACTCCTGTATATCAGTTGCTTTAAGGTTGCTAGTAATGTGACAAATGCTATTCCCCTCATTCCTGCACTTGTTTGGCACCTAGAAACCTGGTCCAATAATAATAGGCACACATGAGAGACCTGACAGTATGAAATCGAATGTGGTATCAAAGTCGGAGATTTAACAATCAACTTTCCGTAACTTATCTTAACTTTCAGCACAAAAAATGGAAAACCCATGATTAATCTGTGCATTTTGGTCAACAAACTTATCCGTGAGGGAACATATTGGTGAATAAATAGTGTATTGACTTATTCCATATCACTTTATTTTTTTTGGATAATTGAATACAATCAATTATTTAACAATTAACAGTGTTATGTTTATAACATTTCTCAGTAAGCGTGAACGGAAAAAAATTTCTGGTTTGAAAGACTTATTTTGATTGTTGAACAGGTTACATCCACGTCCAGAAAGTGATGCAGAGTATTTGCATGGCATATTAGAATCAATTGCACGGATTGAGGTATGAAAACTTCAACCTTGATCTGGACTTTAATTACTTGAAATCAGTGAGCAAATAGGTTAGGTTGTTTATAATCACAGAGCCAATATCTACTGACACGGAAGCGATTTTGTACCGTACTCACGCCAAAGGTTATAGCTTGTTAAGGGATCTGGGAGCAACTCAAGTTGATGAGGTGTTTACTGCTGGAGGAGGTGCCAAAAATGATAAATGGATGAAGATTAGAGAAAGGTTACTTGGCTTGCCAGTGACTCGGGCAATTCACACAGAGGCTGCCTATGGAGCTGCTTTATTGGCCTTGAAGGGTGCACTAGAGAACAGCCGGGCTGGTGCTTGGTAGATTGAATTTACATGAGATGGTATCTGATTCTTAACAGAAAAATTATAAATAGGCTTATTTTCTATTCTGTCAATGTATAAGCAACACTGCTCCAATCTGGTCAATCTAAATTCTCTCACATTTCAAGGGCATTAGATTTTTTATAAGATTATAAATAAGAAAGAAAGATCTTGTATAAAATAATTATGAATAGCATAAGAAATATATACTGTCTTACTTTTTCTTTAAAAAAAGTCATAATTATTTTAATTAAAAAAATTATTTATTATTAAATATTTTTTTCATCTAAAAATATAATAAATTATTAAATTTAATTTACTAATTATAATTTTATTAACACATTCATTAAGAATTATCCGTAAGAGATTATAAGATTATAAGTAATGTCTTCTCATTTATAACTTGGTAAAATTACCTTTTGAATAATTTAATTAATTTAATATTTTACTATTTTGATCTTTAACTTTTATTATTTTATATAATATTATTAATTTTATCCAAAAATATCTACAAATTAGATCTGAAAAAATATATGTGAAAGTTAATAGATTGGGATTAAACGAGTATATAATAATAATCTAAAAATTAAAATTTATGTATAGTAATAAAATATTAAACTGAAAACATGAATAAAACTGTCAAATGGTTGGACAAAATTAACCGTGCTTTTTGCCGCAAAAAAATGCAAGTGAAGCCACAGAGCATTAGGCCGCCAACGGTTATTAATTACGTGGAAATTTTTGTGTATAGTATTTAAATATTTGATAAATAATTGTATAAAATAATTATTTAGCAAATAAATAAAAAATTTGGTTATTTTTTAACTATTTAAAAATAAAATAAAATTGTTAAAATTTAATTTATTTCATCGGCTTTGGAATTTATAAATGACGTAAGCATGGGTCTATGCTCTAGTTGTAATTGAATTAACAACAAATTATACAAATTAATTTATTTATCGGTTAGTCCGAGCCAATTAGATTGTGAAATGCTTGCTTGTTGATCTTTAGTTTTTTTTTTTTAATTACAAAAATAGATGAAAATTTATATATATCATAAAAAAACTAAAAAATTAACATTCGTTTTAATAAAATTACAAAAAATTTCATGGAATATTAAAATTAAATGAAAAATATGGAAGTAAATTAACTCATAATCTTTAAGGAAAACTAAATTAACTTGGGGAAAATTATTGTTTTTAACTTTTTTAAGTCATTAATAATTAGATTAATATTATATCATTATATTACTTTTAATTAATTAATGTAATTAAATAAAATAATATCTTTAAACTCAAAAGATGGTAAATGCCTCTTACGCCCCGGCTCTCCTTTAAAGGGATCACAGTTGTCAAACACCAAATATGCAACAGAAATACAATAAATAAAATATTAACGTAATATCTGAATTCGAAATTTGGATCAAAATAATTTTTTTCATTTATAAAAAATATATAAATAATTAAAAAATTTATTTTAGTTTAAATTTTATTAATTTTTTGAGAAAAAATGAATTAAAAACGAAATTGAAAGTAATTTTAAAAAAATGGGTGAAATTGAGAATAAATGGGTGTTTTTGAAAGAAAATTTAAAAATAAGGGGTAAAATTACTAAAAAATAGTTTGGTCACATAGGATGACCTAGTTAGCAACCATGGTGAACCAGAGCATGCTGTGTGGTAAACATGCTGACATTGGCACCATGTAGGCGATCCGCGTGCCTGGCGATCCGATGGTCCATATTACATCTCGCGCACATGGATCACCCATGTGCATTTCCTTTTCAGACGCGATCGGACAGATGAAGTTGATCGCGATGGACGATCCAGATTCGTCCACGCAATCAATCTAAATGGAAAATCAGCGAACAGTCTTCCTCGCTCCATGTCGACTCAAACGAACAACCTGCATCGAATGGAGATGAGTATTTAAACTCCTATTCGCAGGGAATCAAAATCCTAACCAACAGAGGGGCGACAGGAGAATAAGAAAAAGGGCGACCGGGGAAAAAACCAGATACTAAAGAAGGAGGCCGACCACCATCGTTGTTGCCGCACCGGAGCCACTGCTAATGCCAAAACAGGTTAGTCGAAGAGGAACCCCAGCCATGAAAGAGGACCGGCAGAGCCACTGCACCCGAAGACTACCCCACCAGTAAAGTTCGATTTTTTTACCTTTTTTGGCCAACCGAAGCTCCCTAATGTATTTTTTCACAGGGTTACGTATAAAACCAGCCAAAACCAGCCAGACCGAGAAAAAATCGCCATTATAGGCATCGAAGTCGGCGCAGGAGCACGATAGCGTCTTCGTGCCGGAACTCTAAAATTTGCCGGAAAAGTTTTAAAATACTTATTCTAGCCTTTCGGGGTATTTTTGGATACTTGACGGGTGTTTTAAATTCTACAAAAAAAATTCAAGAAACCCAAGGACCGCTAGGAAGTACAGTATTTCGACTACTGATCTGGTGTAAGAATCTCTCACTTTATTCTCTGTTACGTAAATTGAAGCTTAATAATCGATAATATTATATTTTGTAAAAATTAGAGAACTCTATAAATAATTACAGATCACTAATGAAGTCAGAACCGATTAGTTCATATTTACCCTAGTTTACTGGTTATTTTATATGTACTGCTTAAAATGTTTATTATTATATTATATGAATTAAATTAATAGACTTAATTGCTTTCTCGATTATTTGGTTTTTCTCACTGCATTAGTAAATGTTTCAGTTATGTTTCCTGATGTATGTATCGCTTATTTGCATGATCTACTACTGATATGTAAATATAAATTATTGGTATGTAAGTAGTAATCAGTTTATACTTTGAATTTATGTAACAAAGACTTACTGGGAACCCTGAGAAAAGGTGGACGGACCTGGTACATAGAGAACACTATTGTGGACATTATCTCAGTCAGACGGGGTTGAAAAATCTCATACCGGAAGGGTTTGAAAAATTTGGTTCACCCTCATACCGAACAGGGTATCGAGACGATAGTGTGTCTAGCGCCAATTAACGAATGAAGTATGAGAACGACCAGGTTAATTGATAAATTTAGATATTGAGTTCACGAGTAGGAGAATATCTCTATAGACTCTTAGGGGTTCCAGTAAGCAGTTAAAAAGAAAAATTGCAGTTCTTTCTCACTTGTAAATAAAATCATAATGTTATCTGAATAATTATCTTTATAGGTTGATTTTGAAAAAGTTGTAACAATAAGTATGAAATAAATAGTTTTCTTTATGTTAAATGAATCTATTTAAATTAAGAGCTTCATTAGTTGTTTTATAATTTTTTACTAATCTTCGATTTCTATATCAGTGATAAGTGTGATATTCTTATTGGGTTAGTGTAGATTATCCTCCTATTAACTATTTCATATCAAAAAGACCAAGATCCATATCCTGATCAACATGAGAGTTATGAGTAGATTTTCTCCCATACTCCATCGAGTGTTAGTAGAGATTAACCCCCTATGACATTTATTTATTATTTTCAGTTATTTATTTTGTTTCTTTTTACAAACTGTTGTAAAAAGGACATTCCTGTAACCCTATTGGGCATCCATAATTACTGTGTAAGAAATATAAGCTCTAATTATTATTTTTTCTGTATTTAAATTATGAATTCGTTTCCTTTAAATTATGGGCCTTTATAATTTACAAATTCAAAATATATATCACATATCCCTTGACCACATTGTAATATT